GCAGCATCATCAGCATCATCAGCATCATCCTCGTCCTCCTCTTCCGCCTCCGCCTCCGCCTCCGCCTCCACCTCCTCATCCTCATCATCCTCCTCCTCCTCCTTCTCATCCTTCTCGTCTTCCTCCGCATCCTCCGCATCCTCCTCCTCCTCCTCATCCTCCTCCTCCGCCTCCGCCTCCGCCTCCGCCTCCGCCTCCTTCTCCTGCTCACTCCTCATCATCATCATCATCATCATCATCATCATCATCATCATCATCATCAGTCATCATCACCATCATCCTCATCATCATCTCATCATCATCGTCGTCATCATCATCATCATCATCATCGTCATCATCATCATCATCATCATCATCATCATCATCATCATCATCATCATCATCATCATCATCATCATCATCATCCCCCTCTTCCTCTTCCTCTTCCTCCGCACTTACTCAATATGAATACTACTCTCCCTCTTCCCCTGATGACGGTTTGAAAATATTAGCCCCCCCCGCGTACTTTTTTTTACGCACAAGATTCCCCGGAATTGGGTTTTCGCCTGCATTTGTTTCCAAAATGCTGCTCCCGCTGAGGCGCTGGCCTCATTTTCGGGCCCCGCTCGTTCCGAATCGTGCTCCCGCTGCAGCGCTGGCCTCATTTCCGTGCTTCCGCTCGTTCCGAATCGTGCTCCCGCTGCAGCGCTGGCCTCATTTCCGCGCCGCTTCCGCTCGTTCCCGAATTTCTGCTGCAATGCCGCTGCAGCGCTGGGTCATTTCCGATACGCTATATTGCAATGCGCTAGGTTGATACTACGCTTTGCGGTGCTCTTCTACGCCATGCCATGCCGTGCTCTACAATGCATCGCGTACCCTTTCGGGATCATTGCCCTGCTCGACATCCGACTGTGCGAGTAGAGAGGGGATATACGCCATGGTAAGGGATGGGAGGGAGGGGTAGGATGTCAGATATGACGCGAGCGCACCTAGCTTGTCCCCCTCCCCCTCCCCCCATTACACTTCCTCTTTCTCCCCCCTCCCTCCCCCCTCATCCTCCTCATCACCCTCGTCGTCCTCCTCCTCCGCCTCCTCTTCCTCCGCCTCCTCCTCCTCATCCTCCTCCGCCTCCTCATCCGCCTCCTCCTCCTCCTCCTCTTCCTCCTCCTCCTATATTCATCCTCCTCATCATCATCTTCCGCCCTCATCCTCATCCTCCCCCTCTTCCTCCTCCTCCTCCTCCTCCTCCTCGCCCTCCTCCTCCTCTTCCTCCTCGTTATCCTCTTCCTCCTCCTCCTCCTCCTCTCCATTCCTCCTCCACATCCTCCCTCCTCCTCCTCCGCCTCCTCCTCCTCCTCCTCCTCCTCCTCCTCCTCCTCCTCCTCCTCCCCCTACCCCTCCTCCGCTTCCTCCTCCTCATCCTCCTTATCCTTCTCCTTCTCATCACATCGTTTGCTACCTGGTGTGCTTGCACATGCCATTCACGGTGCGGGTTTGGGAGGTCAAGAAGGTGCTGGAAAGTGAGGCGGCGTGTGCCGCCCCCGAGAACACGGGCCCGCAACCTAGACTTAAGCAATTCTCTGCATCCGCAGCCCGTCGCCTTTGTGTTCGGTCCTGGTTGCTCGGTCGGGCCCGTGCGCTCGCTTCGCTCTGGATCCCTTGGTCCGCCCTTCGTTTATGGTCAGCCCCTCGGGCCCTCGTTCGCTCGGGCTTTCACGAAGTTAGTGCATTGACTCTAACACGCGCACAGCAAATTCCTCCTCCTTCTCATCCTCATCATCATCATCATCATCATCATCATCATCATCATCATCATCATCAACATCATCATCATCATCATCAGCATCATCATCATCATCATCATCATCATCATCATCATCATCATCATCATCATCATCATCATCCTCATCCTCCTCCTCCTCGTCCGATTCCTCCACCATCCTCCCCCTCTGGGGGAACGACGGCTTTCCCGGCCCAAGATTCAACGACATGCTCATCCACATCCCTGATCAGGGGAAATCATGTGGGCATCGTTTCTTGATGGGCTGGTGGGATTACGTGAAACGTCCAAAGATTACCCTGGCGAGAGACACCACCATATGAGGACCGCCAAGCAGGTGGGACGAAGGAGAGGAAGCTCCCTGATCGGGCAACGATGCGTGTGAGGAGCGCGCCGAAATGGACATGCGGTGGGCGGGGAGCCGCATGTGGAACCCGCAACTGGGGCTGTCGGTAGAGCTCCCTATGGGGCCACGGAACGTGTGACGGGTGTGCCGACATGGACATGCGGTGGGCGGGGAGCCACATGCGGACCCTGCAACTGGGGCCTACGGTGGAGCCCTATGTGGGGCCACGAAACGCGTGAGGGCGTGCCGAAATGGACATGCGGTGGGCGGAGAGCCACAGGTGAACCCTGCCTCTGGAGCCTTCAGTGGAGCTCCCTATGGGACCACGGAACGCGTGAGGGGTGCGCGGAAATTCAAATGCGGTGCGCAGGGGGCCGCATGTAGACCCAACCACTGGGGCCTTCGGTGGAATTCCTACGGGGCCACGATACATGCGAAGGGCGCGCCGAAATGGACATGCGGTGGGCGGGGAGCCGCATGTGGACCCTGCCACTGGGGCCTGCGGTGGAGCTCCCTTCTGGGGCCACGAAACGCGCGAGGAGCGCGCCGAAATGGTTAACTTGCGGAGGGCAGAGGCGAAGATGGGTGGACACTTCTCCACATGTCATCCCTCCCTGGGCGATGCCCCTGCATATCTTGGTTTCTCCAAAGCCCTCGTTTTCATCGAGTCCCCATTGCTACGACACAGAAGTGTTGCTCTCATCCTGCGCTCCTCCTTCACCTCGCTTTCTCCTCTCCTTTCCTCTCCTCCACCTGTTTTCGCTGCATCCGTTTGCTGTTGTCGGCCATCCCCTGCATCCTGCCGAACAAAGATATGTCGCAATTCCCTGAGCTGCTGAAGAGCCCAGCGGGGCGCCCCCCTCCGGACGGACTCAAATCAAACCTCGCCGTCCGAATCATGCCCAACGGACAGCCGTGACCACTTCGTGAGCCCCCTGGGGGATGCAGCGGAACGCTCCCCCGAAGTCGACCCAAGCGCCTCCCACGGCGGTGCATCACGTGCGATTGTCGCCGGCGGAGTCTGGCGAAGTTGCGCCATATGGGGATCCAAGTGAGCTCACGCCTGCCTGGGAACGTCCTTAGTGGGTTGGGTACGTCTTGGATGGGTTGCGCATCCCTGCGCTAATAAAATGCATATGTTTTCCGAATTTTATGGGAGTTCCACATATTGCGTTGCACGTTGCTGTATTATCTATCTTGCGTCCGCCGTCACTCCCACTTGTTGCTCGCTAGGTCAATTCTGAGACATGAATATCCCCGTGGGATGTTTAAGCTGCGCGATACTACAACAGACGAAGGAAAGGCTGCGAGCTGCGACGCAAACTCTTCTCGCCTCGGGCTAGCTACGAAACATGTCAGCATCACGGCTTGGGATCCAGGGACCCTCACACCAGGCACCGTTTGGTTGAACCATTCCGCGCTCGGAAAAACCTCCCCACGAAGCGCCGATCTACCGCCACAAGATCAGAAAGAACAGATTGCCCTCCACATTTCTGCTGGAAAGGTCGTGGTCCAAGAGGGCGCCGAGCACATCTCCGACAGCCGAGTCGCGTGGAGGGCGCTACTTGTTTGGCTTGAAGCTCTCCACAAGGCAACCCGCGCCTTATGAAAGGCCTTGGATCGCCGCACTTGCACACAAGCCTTCCGTGTCTGGCCCGACGCGCGGCCGAACAACAAAAAATACGCGGGCATCGTCATTGCCGAACACCATGCCCCTCTACAATAAGGTCGTCAAAAGTCCGTCCGCCCACTGGCAAACGGAGGGAAGCAACGCTTCATATCACTGGAGAAAGATTCGGCTCATCTTGCGCACTGCTGCTCCTTTCTCCATTGCACACTCCATCCCTTCCTTGAGATAACTCCTCTCTGTCGCACCACCAGACGCGTCAATACGGCGGGTCAGGCGTTCCGTCTGAAACGTCGCCGCTAAATGTTATATCAAAGCCTGAACTGTCCAACACTGACACGGATGGTGGGGGGGTCCAAACGGGGCTTTCGCCTCAGCGCCACGCACATCAGTCTTACAAGCTGGCACCAGTTATAAGGATCGAGGGGGTCATTTTCAAAAGAGCTATCGCCGTAAAGCCGCTTACATTGTTCCCCGATAGTTTGCACCTAGGGTAGAGGGGGTCAGGATGGGCGTATCACCTCAGCGATGAGCACAGTCATCTTGAAATGTTGCAACAGCTACAGAGATGAAGGGGGGTCGTCTTCAAAATGGACTTCTCGCGCCTTCGCGCACCGCACATTCGTCTCAAAAGCAACCGAGGATAGTTTTCAAGCTGAGGCACTCTCACCTCAGCGCCGCGCACGCTCTTCTGAAGGGTTAGCATCAGCTACACGGACGGAAGGATGGAGATAACTTCATTCTCAAAGTGCGACTCTCGCTTCAGCGACGCGCAAACCGAACAACCCCCCAAAAAACATGTGTACCAACCCGTTTCAAGACGGGGCCCTTCCTTGAAACATCCTTGACGCTCAAGACAGGAAGCGTTATCATGCACAACAGTTACACAGATGGGGGGGCATTGTTCATGACATGGATCTCGCTGAACACATCATTGAACTGTATGACCATACCTTCCCGCATTCCTACTACTCGCGAGAAAGATTCAAAGAACCTCCTGATCGAAACGAGGCTCTCGCCTGACCGGCAGGCCCATCGGTTGCTAGCTTTCCAAGCTGTCTGTCTATTGCTGGAGTCAAACGAAAAGCTCGTGTTCGGCTTAAGAAGAGGACGCTTGAGACGGGAGGCTGGATTGCAGCATCGTTGATGTGTCTGGGGTGTACTGTGGTCATCATCTTCTTGTCTGGATCCCCGTCCTTTCCTAGTTCCCTCATCACAGTTCCCACTCGCTCCCGTGGCGATCGGCACCGTTCCCTTCCCCGTCCAGCCTTGGTGCTCCAAAACTTCTTCCGGGTCTCTTTAATAACACCCGTTGCATGGACCGTGACTGTGGCACCTTTGCTCACCGCCTGCCATGCCAGCGGAAGGAGGACTACAATGAATACCAGAAGGAAGCTCATAGACAACGATGGTCGGTTAGGACTTGGGAGGCAAAATAAGAGAGGCACAGGAGAAGGCAAACAGTCAAACCTGATACGGAGCAGGACCTCTGCAGGGGCGCAGGACTGTCCAGGCTGCGACGGCAAACCCACATGCCATGCCTGCTCAAATTCGGCTACTTGCATGCCCAAGGACGCCTCGCGCTGGAGATGTTGACGGCCTATGCGGACCAGACAGACATGCTCGACTTAATTAACCCAGAGCGGCTCCAATTTGGTACTATTTCCCTACCTAGGCTCTGCCTAGAAGGGTTCTTACCCTGTGAGCTTAAAGGGCCGGGCAGTGGGGCTCGCCCTGGACGGATCCCCTGGCATCCGCCCCGCGGTTCCCCCGGGTACGTCCCCTTAGATTAGCGTTGCTTATATCATCTTAGCTGAGCCTAGCTTAACTTAGCTTAGCTTAGCTTAGCTCAGCCTGGCCTAGCTTAGCTTAGCCTAGCTTAGCTTAGCTTAGCCTAGCCTAGCTTAGCTTAGCTTAGTTTAGCTTAGCTTAGCTTAGCTTAGCGCAGCATTAGCATAACATAGCATAGCATAGCATAGCATAGCATAGTATAGCCTATGCATATCATACCGTAGCATAGCATAGCATAGCGCAGCATAGCATAGCATAGCATAGCATGGCTTTGCTTAGCGTAGCTTAGCACAGCGCAGCATAGCATCGCATAGCATAGCATAGCATAGCATAGCGCAGCATAGCATAGCATAGCTTAGCATAGCGCAGCATAGCATAGCACAGCAGAGCGCAGCACAGCATAGCATGCGTGTGTGTGTCTGTGCGCAGGCAAAGCAAAAACAACATCAAGCAAAAGCAAAAACAAAAGCAAAGCAAAAGCAACAGCGAAAGCAAAAGCAAAAGCAAAGGCAAGGCAATGCAAAGCAAAAGCAAAACCAATGCGAAAGTGTAGATGTAGATGTAGATGTAGGTGTAGGTGTAGATGTGGAAGTAGGTGTAGATGTAGATGTAGATGTAGATGTGGGTGTAGATGTAAGTGTGGATGTAGATGTAGATGTGAGTCTCGCTGTTGATGTTGATGTAGATGTAGATGCAGGTGTAGATGTTAATGTAGCTGTCGGTGTAGATGCAGATGTTGCTTTCCTAGATGTCCAACTCCTAGGTAGGGTCGCACTGGTATAATTGGCTAAAGGCATACATGCGCAGTGCACTGCAGTGAGAGCTAATGCAAATCAAAACGTGACATAGCATGCAATATGCACCGCAAAACAATGCTTAGCATATAATGGCATACCAGCATTGTGTAACATTGTATACCATAACAGTTCATAGCGTAACGTAGCCCGACATGGCATTGCAACGCGCTGCATCGCATCGCGTACCTTGGCGCAACAGGGCGCGTCGTTCCCAAGAGTGGCATGTCGTCAATAACCCACGGCATCACAATAGTCTGAAAAGACACTGCACGGCGCTGTATAGCATACCTTATCATAGCGAAGCGGTGATTAGCACTGCTTGACGTTGCTTAGCGTTGCTTAGCGTAGCGCGGTGTTGCACAGCCAACCGCTGAATAGCACTGAAAGAACGCTGTGTGCCATAGCACAGCATGATACCGCCTTGCATTTGATTGATTGAAGGCGTCGCATTGCTTTGCAAGGGAGGGAGAAAGGCCAAGGAGCCAACCCAAGACAGACATGACTCGCTCAAGGCGACACGAGCGACTCGAGAGAACCCCCTCGACGACCACCACCCAAGACTGCTTGCGACCCGAGCAACCCCGAGCGACCCCAAATTGACGCCTGGCATCGTGCGGACCCCGAACGACCCAAAAGGATCCGTAAGGGGCCCGGAGCCCGCGAGGCAATGGCCACTGGGCCCTTCGCAACTGTGGACCCTCCAAACCAAGCTCCTCTTGAAGGAAACATCACCAACAAATTACTCGACTCGGAAATCCCAATATGTGCATATCATACTCTTGTCACGTCTCGCTGGGAAACTCTGTCTGCAAGCATCTGGGTGTGAGGGCGGATCAGCGTAGATGACGGCCGCAACAACGACGACGACGACGACGACAGCGACGTTTAGAAATATCTCCATCCCCTGAGCATTTTCAGGAGAGATGAGGGAAACACAAGTGAAAGAGCGAGGGAGCTTTGGACCACCGAAAGAGAGGAATACTGCGAATGAATCTTCCCCAATCAGCACTTACCTCTGTAGGGGTCCTAGCGGATTCTTATGGTTAGATTAGCTGTGGCGCCGATTTCGGCGGCACGCCCGGGTGCCCGGGTGTCCGGGTGCCCGGATGCCCGGGTGACTGGGTGCACGGGTACCTGTGCTCGGGTGCCCGGATGCCCGGGTGCCCGGATGCCCCAGGTGTCCAGGGTGCCCGGGTGCCCGGGTGCCCGGATGCCCCAGGTGTCCACGGTGTCTGGGGGCCCAGGTGCCATGGTGCCTGGGTGCCCAGGTACCCGAGTGCCAGGGTGCCCAGGTGCCCGAGTGCCTGGGTGCCCGGGTGCCCGGTAGCCCTATAGCCCTACAGCCATATAGCCTTATAGCCCTATAGCCCTCTAGCCCTATAGCCCTATAGCCCTATAGCCCCATAGCCCAAATTATAAACCTATAGCCCTGTAGACCTATAGCCCTATAGCCCTATGGCCGTATACCCCATGTAGCCCTACAGCCCTATAGGCATATAGCCCTATAGCCCTATAGCCCTATAGCCTTATAGCCCTATAGCCCTAAAGCCCCAGAGCCTTATAGCCTTATAGCCCTGTAGCCCTATAGCCCCATAGCCCTGTACCCCTAAAAAATGATCATTGATTTTTTTCTCCGGTATCATGAGTGTGGGTGGGTCAGAGTGTGAATGAGACTGGGTCTGAATGGACTTGAGCGTGCATGAGTCTAGATATGAGAGAGTCTGAGTACAAGTCGGTCTGAGTATGCGTAAGTCTAAGTATGAGCGAGTCTGAGTGCGAGTGAGCATGAGCGTGGGTAAGTCTGAGTGTGAGCGGGTCTGAACAGGAGTATATTGAGCATGGGCTTGCGCATGAATGAATCTTGAAACGACTAAGTCTGAGTACGAGCGGTTCACAGGGTGGGTGAGTCTGAGTGCGAGTGAGTCTGAGTGTGAGTGACTCTGCATATGAATATATGATGGGCACGACTCTGAATCTGAATGATCAGCACCTCGCCTGAGACATCCTCACAATGTACTCTGACACAAAAGGAGTCGGGGCGTCGAAAAGGGCAAAACGGCTGAGACATCCGCACGATCTGGGCGCGAACTGTCCCGTGAAATACTCCCTGGCGGCTCCCACCTGAGGTGCTGAAACCATCGCCTGGTCTGAGACATCTTCAAACTGCTCTTACAGCAGCAGAGGCGTCGGTGGGCGCCGAAACAGCCAAACCGCCTGGGACATCCCCACAATCTGGGCGCGAATGGGCGAATATCATACCCCGTGGCGGTCCCCCCGTGGGAGTGCTGAAACCAGCGCATCGCCTGATACATCCTCACAATATGCTTCCGAAGCACAGGATGTCCGACCTGCAGAAAGGCAACCCGCTTGAGACGTCCCTACAATCTGAATGCGAGCGGGCCTGTCAAATATGCCCTGGCGGCTCCCCCGTGGGCATACTGAAACCAGCGCTTCGCCTGAGACATCCTCAGTCTGCTCCAAAAGTAGAAGATGATGGGCCTGCAAACAGGCAAACCGCTTGGAACATCCCCACAATCGTGGCGCGAACGGGCCCGTGAAATCCCACCAGCCTTTTACGGCGCGAGTGGTCTAGAGCGGTCCCTTTTCCAACCCCCCTTCTTCCCCCGCGGGGAGGGGTGCACTCCCCCCCTTACCCCGTACCCTGGACATGGAGGGGGGGGGTCGCCAGAGGTTAAGACATCCAAAACGACCTCGGCGAGGACGCCACAATCATTGATGTCACTAAAACTTTGGCCGCATGAGAGCCTCCCGGGGTGGGGGCCCTACTTGAGGAGCTCCCGTCCTTTGATCGATCTCATCCAGGATAGACCAAAGATGCCCCTCAAGGCCCCAAGAGATGCCCAGGACGCCCAGAAGGCCCCCAAGAAATCCTCACAATGCCCCAAAAAGGCTCCCATGAGAACCCCAACAGGCTCCAAGAGACCGCCCTGAAGAACCCAAGACGCCCCGAGAGGCCTCCCGCACTGCCAAGAGACACCCAAGACGCCCAAAGAACACTTCCAAAAAACTGTCGAAAGAAATCCAAGGAGACTCCGAGAGGCATCCAAGAGGCCTCCAACCTTCCTGCTCGCCATCCTCCTCCTCCTCCTCCTCCTCCTCCTCCTCCTCCCTCCCTCCCTCCCTCCCTCCCTCCCTTCCCTTTCCCTTCCCTTCCCTTCCTTCCCTCCCTCCCTCCCTCCCTCCCTCCCTCCCGCCGTGCAGCCCTCCCTCCCTCCCTCCCTCCCTCCCTCCCCTCCCCCTCCCTCCCCCTTTCCTTCCCTCCTTCCCTCCCTCCCTCCCTCCCGCCCCCCCAGCAGAAAGGGGGAACGGTGCAGGAATCTCCACCCGCAACAGGGGCCCAACGAGGCCCAGGCAAGGGCACAACCGCAGTAAGGCGCGACGGGCGCCTTTCGCGACCGCCCCGGCGGGCAGGCGGCAGGGGCGCAGGCGGCGGAGAGGTGGGCAGCAGCAAGAGGAAGAGAGAGAGGGGGCAGGCGGGAACAACGCGCCGCGGCAGGGGCGGGCACGCAGGGGCGGGGAGAGGAGGACAGAGGGGGAGGGGAACGGGGGGGCATGGCGGTCGGGGTCGTACAGGGGGTGGCAGTAACCGTGTTGGTGGTCGTAGTGGAGGTCGCACTCCCAGAGACCGGAAATCTCAAGGCTTTCGAATGCATGTCCTGGTGATCAAGTACTCTCGAGTTCACGTGCTAGATCATGTATATGATATATGCAAGTCCGTGCGCATGCGTCTTGTCCATCCA